TGTCCCAGGGATGTATCCAGGGAGGGGAGGGGGAGCCGCACCTACCTTTGTACACAGTGTTATAATTTTAAAGCTTGTTCTTGCTAGCCAATACAAATTCTTTCCTGGGATCATCTTAAATCGATAAATCCCATGCCAGGTCTTTTCAAGATACAGAAATGTGATAGGCCTAAATTGTAAGGTTCAGTTTGGTTTTTATTATTTTGCAAGCTTTTATATTAATGATGACGATGACGATGACGATGACGATGATGGTGATAATGATAATAGATAGTAATATTACCAACATTAAAAAGTGAAGAAAATCGTGCTAAAGACAAAAAAGAAAGTTGTGATTCGTTGATCCGACTTTATTATAGTTAAAGCTTAGTAAGCTATAGTTTGGCCTAAGTTGTCCTGGATATTAAGTAGATCCCTGATAAAAGATCATGAGAAATTTGTTGTGATGATGATGAATTGTACAACCTGTATATAGAAGTGTCATTTCCGGCCATTTAGAGGTACGGTACCTCCCTCAATTTTTTTCCCTTTGTGAAATCACGGCTTTAAAGTATGAAAACTACATACTCAACTCAAAGACAATGTTTTTTAAGCTTTATTTCTATGGTACATCACACATATTAATAAGATCTCTATGGTTGCCGAAAATCCCTGATAACAGATCATGAGAAATTTGCTTTGGCACTTCATTTTGACTAGGCCATATATATGGTGATGTGATGATGATGAATTTTAGTAAAAAAAACTAAAAGTGTCATTTATTGCATCTAGGGGTACTATTTCCTAAAATTTTCTCACCTCAGCCCCAACAATGGTGAAGGTTGGCGTCAACTCACGAAAAGTCCCCAACCCTATACCTTTCAAAACAGATCTACACCCTCCCCTTGGTATGACATTAAACTCCATCGAGTCGGCACCTGACTCAGAGTATGTCTTGGTGAATGCTGAGGCGAGGGTACATATATTTGTTTTTAAGATGTGAACTGGTTTTTATGCCCATTTTTCGTGTTATGACTACTTTGGATAAAGAATGTTTTGAACAGTGGCGGATTCAAGCCCCCCCCCCCCCAAAAAAAAAACAAAAAAAAACCCCTAATTTTTTTGATGAAAAAAAAAAAGAAAAATAAATTTATACATAAGCCCATATTCATATTTAATGAGTCTGAGCATGTCCGAGGCCATCTAGAGGTGCCCCTAATGATACATTTTCTTACTTCAGCTCCAACCATGGTGGGGCTGAGGTGAAAGTCTCTCCCTGGGTAACCTCTTTCAAATTCTTGGATCCGTCACAGTTGAGTTATTACATAATTATTGCTAGGCTTACTAATATTATTTATGATGCGTCACTTTTTACTCTCAAAACAGTTCTCAACACGTTCAGAGCGTGTTCTTCCCAGTGGGATTCGCCCTTGGACTCCAGCAGGGTCCTACGTACCTCGCATCGGCTCAACACCCTCTTTTCAAAATCCTGGCTGCGTCCCTGACCTGTCCGGTGTCCTGGCACCGCCACACTGGGTTGAACTAACTTCCATCGTTTTTGCTGAACTTCTTCTAGAATGATTCTTTCCAAAAAAAAAAAAAAATGTAGAGAAAATAACAGAAAGGATGTGATAAACAACGAGCTGTGTTACAGAACAGTTAGGCCTACATTTAAAAATGGTCATTTTTTAGATAACCTGTGGTTTGTGTTAGATTATTAGGATAGGCCTGCTTTACATTTTCAAAGTTGACATCGCCCTTGTAGACCACTAGGTCCATGCCAGATCAATTGTTAATTTCACTGAATTAATTTGTAGAAGAGCTCAGTGTGAACTATTTAATGTGCTTTATTTCATCTTATTTAATTTATATTTTCCAGGTAGAGTAAATTACAATAGTAAACAATACTATAACCTGATCTGAAAGAAACAGGCAGACAATTAGTTTTTCTCAGACAATAGATTTAATTATTAACTGTTGTGTTCGTAGCGAATTATTTTTAGATTTTAATATATTTTGTAAAAGTATGAAGTAGCTGTTTTTGTGATCACAATAAGGTTACTAAGATAGTATAATACATTACTCAAAGTATAGCATGGAAATGCACGCCATAGTGTTGGGATTTAATATTTCGACATAAATTATGTCATCATCATGAATGATGATGACATAATTAATGTCGAAATATTGAATCCCGACACGATGGCATGCATTCGTTACTTGAAGATGTATTTATACTATCTTATCTGAGATTGATCAGATACCTTTCGGTATAAGGTTATTAAGTTTTAGAATGATTCGTTCCTAATTACTGCTTTTAAATCTTTCATTGTACATATTTTTCAACAAAATTTAATTTTGATTTTTAAATATATGTATATTTTTAAGTGTTTACATGTATTGTTTTCAACATTAGAGAAATACTCGCAGTGACTTGCTTATACAATTTTTGAATGTTTCTTGTGATTTTATAGATCTCGCTTAATTTTATATTGTATTTACTATATGCTCCCTGTTATTGGCGTTTTCGCTGTTGGTGGTGAAATGAAATAAAATAAAAAATAAAAATAAAATAAAAAATATCCAATCGGGTCGTTATATGATTGCTCACTTTCTGTCTAACTGTGTTATGTATGTATTTTCTTTAGTGCCGAGGGGGTTGCATTAAATTGTATTATCATTTTTTTGCTTTCCTGGTTATAAAATTTGTGTATCGTTGTGTGAAATTAATTTACCATATGTCTATTATTTAATCCGTTGCTTATGCATTCAATGTTTTCCTCGTCCACTCAGACGCAATTATAATATAGTTTATATTCTTTTTGCAGATCCTTATTATTTGGCTGATTATAATAAGATTGCTTTTTTTAGTTCAAAATATTTTCTTTTTCTGTTTTTTTTTTAGATGTTATATAGAGGGCAGCCTTCAATATTTAAATAATGGAGGCAGGGAGCCGGAGCTGAGAGAACCTGACGTACACGCACCAGAGAGATGCACTACCTAAGCTGAAAGTTTGTGGGCTTTTCGCCAGGGCCTAAAACCCTTTGCTAAAACGCGTCGGTACGTACGTAGTACTAGACCCCCTAAATGTAGGACGTCAAGTATAGGCTAGTATAGTAATTGAAGGACTCATGGTGAGAACTTGACGGAGGCAATTCCTCCATCCAAACCCTAACTAAACTAGGCCTAGGCCTAGCTAGCCAGCCTAGCCTAGGTTCTAGGCCTAGTAGTAATAGTAGGCCTAGGCCTCGCTAGGATCCTAGTCTGGGTGGGCTAGCCCCTTGACGCCAAGCCTAGATAGCCCTAGGCCACCTTACCTAGCTGGGACTAGGCCTAGCAAGGAGTCGGCAACATCCGAGATAAGACGAAAATAACTTTAAAAACTGAATAAAAATAGAAAAAAAAATATAATTTAGCCTAGGCCTATTATTAATAATAGTATTAATATTATTAGATTTTTAGTTCCTATGCATGTAATGCAATAGGAACTATTGTAATCACTCTTGCTATTTCCTATGTTTTTTATTGTGTGTAGTGTGTATGTGTGTGTGTAGACATTTATGCAAATGCGCATGCG